CATTAAGTTATACTTACATATACCGCGGAAATCATGAAAGGAATAACGAGACCGCCTAAGGTTGGTATAGCGATGATGGACAGCTGTGAACGGTGGGATGGTACGGTCCCGATGTGTACCATAAATTGTATAGAACTTTTATGTGCATACGTGGTAAGTATTTTAGATCTTAATACAAGTAAGAAAAATATAAACAAAATTACTCTTTATACGTGTATTCCTTTTTAATTTGGATGTAAAAATTCGAAACATCTGTCACGCTCATCCACTACACGTTCGCACACCATCAAACTATATCAAGTATAGTCAATAGGTACATTTTATGAAGGACAAATTTGACCACAAAAAAAAAAATAGAGTTAAATTAGAACAAGTATATAACAACTTTTGTTATTTTTGCATATTGTCAATTGGTGGTATTCTCTTAATATGTCAAATGATTCTGATTCAACTGAATTGAAATTAGGGAAAATAAGAAATGAGCTTATTAGAAAAATATCCAAAACAGGTTGGAGGCAAAAAAAAAAACCTTCTAATTGTGTTCTTATGACAAAAAATTGATCTTACCCTCTGATACTCATTAGTATTCTACTGCCACACATTAATACGTTGCATATGATAAATTTCATCACAAATAAAATTGCTATACTTTATACATAATACATATATTTTTCATTTATTATTTTAAACGTCAGAGTATACCCAGTTCACTTAAGACTCTGTATAGTTGCATATTAATAAAAATATGTAAAATGACTACATCAATTTTGATCCAAAAATAGGTTATTATTAGTTTATTACTATATTTCTTTATTAGTTATGGCCTAATCAAGTAATGACGCAGTCATCGAAGTAAAAATTACATACAAACTACAATAATTAATTAATTAAAAAAATGTTTTCGTATTTTTAACACTAGATATTTTTGTAGTATTGAATGTTTGCGCTGTAATTATTTAGAAAACAAATACACTTAAAATCATATTGATTGCACCAGCAAATTATATTTTGAGTATGAAATTATGAACTATTTTATTAAAACTTATTAAAGCTCGTTTTTAGCTAATTTTTCTATAAAATTAATTATAATTTACATGTTTACAATGAATTGTGATCCGTGTGAAATACACGGGATATGCTTGATAAGACTGATTTAGTCAACATCTATCTTGGGCTGTAAAATTGTTACATGCATTTATCACATAACTTAATTATATCTATTCATAAGGTCACGAATGTGTAATTTTATTCGTCTGTATAGACAGTTAATAATTATTGTAATGTTTTATTATACTTAAAAAATGATTTATTGCTGAGCGTAGACTGCATGGTATAGTGTTATAGTGTTATTCTAGTCATCTATTATAATTCATAAGTGATGAACTGATGACGGACAAAACATTTGAAGATCCATTGATCTATAAAATAAATTTAAAATTTATTCAAAAACACCAAGTACCTAGTAATCATACTCAATGGCTACAGATTACATACACTAAACTATATGCTATAAAAGTTTTTTCTTTGATTTCTTATTTTTTTCCTTTACATACAGTGTTCCTTTACATACGCTTAAGAATCGTTTTCTTAATTGCGGGCATCCAAGTGCTGTACAGAGATAATACTCATGTCATATTTATCGCGTGTATTGAATTTCTATTTTTACATTGAAAAATACCGATGGCCGATAAAGAAATTGTCACAAAACTAATCGTCTGGCCGAGAGTTTCGTGCGGGACGATTGCCTGTATTGTACGTGCCTCAGAGTGCGAAACGTGAATTCTAACGGACAATGCCTTTACGCGCCGCGTTGGACACTGACCCGTTCGAAAACACAATCGAACACGAACCGCGGAAACCAAGAACAGTTGTACGCCGTCGTCGCACGATAATAAGAAATCATTGTCCCGTGTAAACCCATTAGCTTTTATAAGCTTTCGAGTGCGAACGTGAGCACCACAAAAAAAAAAAAAAAAAACCGCGTGCCGTTCAAACATCGTTACCGTAACGACTAACGATTGTCAAGAGACGGGAACCGGTGAGAAAAAGAAGAGAGAGGAGAGAGAGAATAAATCGTTTGTCCCGCCAACGCTATCGCCACCGCCACCGCCAAGCAGAGAGGCATAGTCATATTCGCCGCCGGCGAAGGTAAACGATAAGTAGGTGTAGCACATACTTGCATGCATACCTACTAGTGGTGGGAATTGTCGTTCCTTTTGCGGAATCGTTCCAATCGGTACGGGGTTACGATAAAGTACCGATTCCAAAACACTCGTTACTTCGGTATACAATCTGTACAATTTTTTTGATTACAATTCTATTCGGGACGATCAAGTATACAAGTGTATTCCGTAAAGGATCGTTTCAAAAGCTACATCATTTCCGAAAGACGTAATCGATTATCAACAAATAACACGGAAGTGCTAATATTTTTAAACAGTAATTATTAAACACTATTGTCATATGAATAAATAAATTAAACAATTTCATTTTTCATTTTTATCCCTACAATTATTTTAGGCAAATAGATTGATTAATTCTGTATATAGTGTAAAAGACACTGTACAGCTAATGCTAAAATGCTAGGCTAGTAAGGCGAGATGTATTCGTTCCAACACCGTTTCAAATGACAAAAACTCGTACTTGTATTACAAGAATACAGCGTAAATAAATCCCTCATCTGTGTGGCTGATCGGTTTATGTACTTGTGTAGTAATGCGCATACAAAGTGTATTCGTTCTTAAATATCCATTATGAATGAGAAGTCTAGTACACTTGATTACTTTATCGTTTCGCGCGAAACTAAACGAATCTTGAGTACAAGTGTAACTAAAAAAAAATTGTACCGATGTAACGAGTATTTCGGAATCGGTGGTTTCTTGCAGTGGTGGCCTGGCCAGGTCGGCGATTGCCGACTGGGCCCTTGTCGCCATATCCGATTGAGCCTCTTTTTTTTTGTAGATATTATCTTAAATCGTGGTAGGTAGTCACATTGTATTTTTAAAATAAATACCGTGCGATTAAATACTAATATTATGAAAATTATATTAATATTATAATATAATATTATTAATATTAATAATATAATGAAATTAAATTACTTGAACAACGAAAACACAAGATAAAAAAAATTTCAGGAGAACTATTGGATAATGAAGTTGCAGAAAATGACCCTATAGCTGTATAGAATACAATTTTTTCGTTTAATAATTGACAAATTATTTAAAAATAAAAATATTTTGCAAGCATTAACATTTTTTGATCCCAATAAATGTACAGATATATATAACAAAATATTAATTATAATGAAATATTAATGATAACTAATTATTTAATTATAATAATTATAATTATTGGAATTACTACACATTTCAAAGAGTAGCTTAGAAGCAGAAATGAGAATGGAATTTTATGTTTTAAGTAGTAAAAAAAAAGATTGCTATATAAATGATGTCAAAGAAATTGTCGAAAAACAAATACTTCCAAACATTTTTAAACTTTTACAAGTGGCTTTATCTATTCCTATAAGTTCAGCCACCTGTGAAAGGTTGTTCTTTTCACTTCCAAGTGCAAATCCAATGCACTGATTATATTTATTATTATAGTAAATAATGGCTAAGCAAGAAAATATTGAAATAGACATTTCTCGAAATGAATTTATAAGTATATTATAATGTAAATTAATGTTATGAAGTTATAAATGTCGCCTCTGCAAGTTAGTTATCGTTCTAATTGTTATATTGTAAAGCCGGTCCCACATGACCTGCAATATCATAATCGCCAATACTTTCGTTTAAGAAAGCGATGTGTGATAACTAGGGCTCGGGACTTCTAGGAGTTTGCATGTTTTTAAATAATCATCAACAACATAGCTAAGTAATATATACATTTGTTTCATAGCAAAACAAGTTTATATTTAAAATTTATAGTTGCATATTTTGCATATTTGACCATTTTTCATTTTATAAGTTCATATTTGATAATTATTTATATGAAGGAGTAAGTTTTTTAATTTTATTAGAAGAGCGTCAATTTTTTTTTGTTGCCAGTGTGCAAAATCTCTTAATACGGCATTGCACACACACATACTCGGTAACGTTCGAGTATTGTCAATAGATTCAAAAATTTACAAACAATCTATCCTTATGTTGATATTGCACTTAAAATGTTTTTGTGTACACCAGCAACGAATTGTTCTTTAGAAACATCTTTTTCAACCCGCAGAAATTTGTATTTGGTATAATGAGGCTTTTTTATTGTTGCCCCTGGTGTCAAATTCCCAAACACGGCCCTGGTGTACATTTAATACATTGTATTTGTATACACTATATCTGGTCGGGAAATAACTGCAATGGGAAGGCGTATCGTCTAAAATTAATAAATTATGTTTTCCTATCGGGATTTCAATATTGTTAGTATCCGTATCGGTGAACCATATTTGAGCGATGGAGTCTTGTAAAAATACATACGCTCGTTGTTTTAAACAACGATCAATAAATTTTACGTTTATACATTTTCTATGGTGAAACGAACGGAGTTGTTGATCGCCCTAAGGGCTCCGCGGAGCACATTTCGGGAACCGCTGCAATACAGATCCTTGAACGGTGGTCGAAAATCTCGAACCGCGATCCTCACTCGCCAACTCGGAGAACGTTTCGGTGTTTTTCACACGTTTCCCTTCAACCAGAGTCTTGGAGGAAACGCGATTTCGTTTTCGCCATATCCAACCGCGTCAATCATACGGAATTACCGTCGATTTGGTTAGCGGTTAGCGAGACAGCGATGCGTGCAGAGTTCAATAACAATTATGGTTACGATGGGAAAAAATAAAAATCAAGAACACTAAAAATCGGTGGAGATAATTTTATAACGCGCGCGCTGACATTCCGTCGCAGCCATCACCACCAAATACTATTATTATTACTATTACGTGCACGCATAATAACATCATATACGCCTGCACACACATGTTTCGCCGGTCGCCGGTCGTCCGTCGTACAGGTTTATTGTGCACGCGCGCACGGTCCGTCGATTCAGTACCGAAGCGGCGCGCGGAGACGACGACCGGTTCTCTCTGTCGAAGATACGCGTCCGCGCCGTTGTGTCGTACCGTTTTAAAATATTGTTGTTCGTTATCGGTTTCGGGCGCGTTGTTGTTGTTGTGCGAATAACACGTTGCGACCGAAAAATCGGTTCGTTGTAATTAGCGTTTTCCCATTGTGTTACGATTTCAGTTACTTTCCCGGTGCTATCAAACGCGCACGCGAATTTCCGCCGACCGAACGGACCTACAGAAAAGGTGAGCTATCATGTTTTATCCATATACGTTTATGTCCGTCCCCGAAGCCGCCCGCGGATTATTTTGTACCAGTTCGTGTGGGTGAGATTTTACACGTTTGATACAGGAACAATAAAATATTTCCAGTATTGTCAAAACCGTACGAACGCCATACGAGTGTAAATGTGTAATTATAGTTTTGAGGGATTGGATTACGTTGTGATCACTTGTTAGTGATTATTTTAATAGGTTTCCAGTTAAAATTATTTCTAAATATACTATGTCTATATTTGAATAATTGCTCGCATAATTGTTTAATCGCTGCGATTCTAACAAACGTTGAAACAGCATTATTATGATAACATTTATTGAACATTTTTTTTTATATTTTTTTTTTTTTTTATATTTTGGCGCATTCGTGTTTGGCTTTTTGATCTTGTTTTTGCCGCTGTATTATTTTATTGAATCGATATAACCGGGTTTGGACTTCCATGCGAACGATATTCAGCATCAGCTTATGTTTGCTGCTGATGGATATTTTTTTGCACTTTAAAAATATTATAATCAAGAAATTCTTAGCGTTTATCTTTACCGTAAACCACAGTTCAGTATAATTATGATCGAGTGATAGCATTGAAGCGTAATTCATCAATTTTTAAGATCCATACACTGCTCTACACTATGTTCACCAACCAGGCTACGGATATTTTTGAAAATATGGTAAAAAGTAGTATAAATTCTTATTATTAGTTTCGAAAGTTGATAAATACCGATATTTTTGTGTTTCATTTATTATAAATCATACGTTTAGTTTGAAAAAATTAAATAAAGTCATGTTAATGACTGGTGGCGTACCTGTGGTGGAGGGGCAACAGGGGCATTTTCTCCCCCCCCCCGAGAAGTTTTTTGATGCCATAATGCAAATTAATTATTCAGCTTAAATAATGTAAATTATAAATATTTTTAATTTTCATTGATTATAATCGTGTTTGATATCAAAAGTTTTTGATATCACTTATCAATGTAATATAAAATATTAATATTCGTCCGAATTGGGATTAGGAGTGATGGTCACATGTAGTCACTATTTTATAATGTGGTTATCATTGATATTAAGTTATCAACATGAATTTTAAGTATTTAGTAATAGTTCATAATAAAATTTCAGATAATATTATAACCATAAAAAATTGTGCAATTAATTTATGCCCCCCCCAAAAAAAAATGTTTCACAGGTACGCCACTGTGTTAACACGAGTAAAGTCAACGGTAATATGTTCATATTGCCAAGGTATCGCAGTACTGCATAGGGCGCTTGAATGCCTCTGTTCATGATACCACTGACATATATTATGCATGTGGATTTCTACTGCAACAGGTTTTCGGCAGAATACCTACCTACATAATATGTTATGTACGAGTTTACATATGCCATTGCTTATGCGAGTGTGTGTTAAACGTGTTTCGTATAATGCGCAAAAATTTTATGCGATAGGTCTCGAAATTCGGTCCAACCAGATTAAGCGTAAAAGCGAATTTCGTCCGGATGAAAACCAGTTCAGTTAGTCTTGGCGATGACGGTGGCGGCGGCTTCGCATCAATAGCATTCACAAATATGTATAGGTACATATAATACAATGTAAAATCCTTCGGCATGTTCTCTTGTGTGTGCGTGTGTGCGTATATTTTGTTATTTTTGCCAATACACTGTTATACAACCACTCTGAATGTTATTGCGTAAAAGCGCCGCGGGCTCAGTGTGTAGAAGTAGAACTCACTATTATACGTATGTATGTGAGTGTATAGCATATTATTTTAATACATACAACGTAACGATGCGTACACTACATGCTACCGTTGCAAAGGAACCGACTGAAATTTATTGAATAAGACTGCAATTGTACGTTTCACCGACCGCTGATCGGACAATGTGTAATTTTAAAACGGACGTTTATAAATACCGAGTGCAGCGGAGAGTTAATTGATTTTTACCGAATTATTTTATTATTTTTGTAACTGGTTTTCGATTTTCTAAGTTTAATTGATTGAACGTTTTTATTATTAAAAAATCTCAATCATGTCTTGAAAACAATATCGTTTCTTGACACAATGATTTAAATTAATTTTGGATCTTATGGCTCAACAATTCTAGATTATGTTGAAAATAATTAGTTTTTTACCTAGTGTTAAAATATTAAACTTGTCTGTCTATATTATTTTATAGTTGTTAAGTTTTTTAGTGAAACTGATTGATTTTACGAATAACAAACATTTTTCTCGTAAATTATCGCGTACGATGATAAAGGGCGATTGTAATTTGCGCCTATAGGTAGTAAATGTTACATATGTATTTTGCGCCACGTCGTATCTTAGAATGTAATTTGCGCAACATGGTCATACTCTTACTAGACTAAATTATATTATAAGGAATTGATTTTTATTGATACAAAAACTATTTTTTTTCCAGTTAATATTCACAATTATTTTTATTATTTTGTCACAAGCTTACAAATTTTAACTTTAATTATGTTATACATTATTACCCACTTTTTGGAGTAGAACATAAAATAAAATAGAAAAAATAAATAAACATACTAGGAATAATTAGTAGCATATTTATATGCAGGCATTACAGGCATTATAGGCCTACACCGGAAAATTTCGAGGGGCGGCAAATTATTGAAGGTTATACATTTTACGATTACTTATTAAATATTATTATATTTATATACGTTTTTAGGTTTTCTGATAAATAAATATGTTATATATATTCTTATATGAAAAAATAGTAGATAATAGCTTACTATTTTCATAATTTCGTTGTTTTTCACAGGTTTACAAGCGGGAAATATGTAAATACGCTCCTGGGTATAATGACTAAATGATGAATTAGTCTTAACAAATTTGTGTGGCAAATTATAAAGTATTATTTTTTATCGGTTGTGATGCAAAATATATTTATGTATTTATTTTTTCGGTAAATTTTGGCGTAATTTATATTCAATCATTATAAATTATACCGGGAATTTACTTTAAAAAGGTCTTACATTTTTGTCCAAGCATAACAATTATTTTATTATTTCATATATTGTTTGAGTTACAATTGTATTAAGTATTAAATAAATAAATAAATAAATAAATAAATGTGTATTACTTCAATCACTATACAAAAACGTTTTTAGAATTCATCGCTGCTTTTAAATTAAATTAAATTGATTGATAAAAAGGGTAAAAACCAATTTTTGACAAAATCGATTTTTTTTCTAGACTTGAAATTTGCACTTAAATGTTATTATTATCTTTCCCTAGATTTTGTTTAGTTTTCATATTTTAATTTTTATTGTGTTATAGGTATTTGAAATAAATGTTTTATTTGTTTTTTTTCCGCAAAATGTTGATAAATTAATTTTCTAAGACAAAAAATATTAAAAATTGAATATTTAGTTCGTTTTACATTTTTCTTATTCGTATCCTTTTTTTAGTTTTTTTTAAACTTTGAACTTTAAATGTTGTCAAAATACGACAAATTTGCAACATTTTTATTTAAAGAGTAATAAAAACTTTTTAAAACTCTTGATTCCATTAGTTAAAGTAATTTAAAAAATATATATTATTTGTAACCCGTTAAAAAAAAAATAACTGAAAGTCATAAAAATGTGTTAGAAAATGTTTAAAAAATTAAAGAATTAAAAAAACTTATGATTTTCATGAATAATGATATTTAATCCATATACCTCTCCGATGGAAATCATTTACGGTCCTGTGATGATTACCTCGACAGTGTATTGTATGTTATTAATATTATTATTTTTATTCTGATGCTATGATAAAAGGTCTAATATACACGACAAGTGAATCTCAAAACAATCCTTGCTTCTTTGAACAAGAAACAATCGAGTAAAATTGTTTTCATATGTATACATATATTTATATATGCATATATCCAATGCGGTATAATGGAAATTGAAATTTTCTTCACACATTGTGATATTTGTATTTTCCAGCACGTTACATACGCGTCTCTTTCAATTGTTTAAAAGGGTCTTCACCACGAAAAAATACACGTATTACGCTTTGAATATACGTATATTATCTTCGGTCGGAAAGACATGACAGTTTTTATTTTCATCCAAAATAAATTCTGAATATCCATTAATGTAATATTTATTAATACGTTATACGTTTATATCATGACATGTATAATATAAAATCTGAGTGGAACAATGTAACATAATTTTATAACTATGTACATTGTCTTAAACGATTTAACGCACGCCAGTGTCGGCTAAAGTTTAATTAATCTGTTTAAATGACTTATTCGTACATGTTCTTTAAAATGAGAATCAAAGTAGAAAAATAAACTAGTGCTTTTGATTGTTAGAAGTTATGAATCATTATAGGTTTGCGTGTTTATATATAATTCAAGCAGCAGTTAATGAATTATTTTTGAGAAATAAATGTAGATTAATTCTATACCTACAAAACTTTAAAGTATTTTAATGTACCTCATTATTATTTAATATTTTTAAAAACTGTTTAGTAAGTTTCTGAATGAAGTAAGAAATGCTCATACATTTCTTTCCCACGAAATTATACACGATTTTCGTTTTGAAAATATTCATCTCCCTTTAGTCGATTATTTCATCATCCAGATAATTTGACCTTTGTATATTTTTAACAAGCTAGTTTGCCACATATCAGTGCATAGAAATACCGTTGTAGACTTAAAGCTACTAGCCATCCGAAGCTTTTTCTCACATTTTCATACCTTGTGCGACTTTTGTTTACATTTTACTGACATGAATCTCAGTGTTGTAATCGTGAAATATGCATGTATTATTCATTCATAAGTTGTTATGTGTCGCACTAAAACGATTGTTATGAATAGCGTGACGTATATTTTTACTTATATCTAAACAGTACCTTTACACGCATCAGTATATCATCGACGCAACTCTTGTTAATTTGTTGGGAGAAGTGTACCGTTAGCTGAACCGTCTATATAATATTATTATACTTACATGTATGTGTATTTACTATAGGTCCGACAATAAAGTAATATTTTTTACACACGTGTAATTTGTATATATTTATATATGTATACTCATAAACTCGACCTGGCGCGAATAATAAACGTAATCAGAGAATATTATATTCGAGTTGTGCAGGCCGCGGCGCGTTCAGACCAACGAGACCATCACTTGCGAACCTCTCTCGTGTATGAGCGGCGTGCGGCTGATGCATCCTGTTCATGCGTGCGATGGGTCATTATTTTGTTACGCAAGCAAAATAAATTATTTGAACCGTTCGTATTATTACGTTGTAAATTGCCATTACAGATAGCTACACCAAGCATGTCTCTGTTATAGGTATACTATACTATTACTATTATTATTACTATTACTACTATTAGTTACTACTTTTACTATATCGATGGTACAACTATACAAATACAAGATTACAAGGATTTTTAAGCTTTTTAAACTGTGTACACTCGTAATAATTTGTTATGGAATATGGGTGTACTAAATTTATCTTCTGAGATTTAGTGGTAAAAATTAGCTGTTTATTTGCACGCACAAGTAAATTATAAGAAATCTATAAAAACATATTGATGATAGAGATTTGTATACTCGGCACTTACCTCAAAATTAAATTCGTGCAGTGTATTGTCACTAAAAATTTGAAAAAAAAATTCTGAACAGAATTTAATTAAACCAAAACCGGTTAAGATATTTTTAAAAACGTTTACTTACTTTTTATGTCTCCTACTTTTTTACTTTTTTTTATTTCATTCAAAAGTCTAAAGATTTCTGAGAATTAGATAACTGTGGTAAAATATTTGGAATTGCTTTATTATTCTCGGAAAATAGTGTTCTACAACAAAAATATAAATATTAAAAAGAAAAAATGCATTTACGTATAGATTAGCATATTTTATAATAACGTGGCCTCATAAAAATAAAGTAATTTTAATATTAAGTGTTATCACATCCAATTATAATTAATATAGGTAATGTGTAATTAGTTGTACAGAGATACGTCTCAGAGTTAAATTACCAATATTTCTTTGTTCGAAATGCATACTCTTTATAGGAAGTTATACTTTTCACGATAATAGCTACTATACTATTTTGACTTCTATAAATACCGAGATAAATACTATATTAGTGTATTATATTATCAGTTCGTTCGGTTTTTAGGCAAACCGAGTTAAATCCATGTTGAAATTTCATGTTTAGGAAGTTGAAAAGATTTTTTTTAAATTTTGATATAAATATTTCATATCAAAATCAATTTTATAAAACATATATATTTTGATTGGCGTATCGATATTTTTCGATGGAAATTTCGTGTAGCAAATATATTTATTATTTAAATATATTAATAAATAAATACGAATTATATTATCCATAAGAACTGAATTACTCTCAGGCTGATATAAAATCATAGAGATATGATACATTTGTTACTGGATTTTTTCATCCTCGAAAATAATTATTAATATACACGAAAAAAATAAATTAATTAACGTTTATTCGTTTGTTGGTATAATTGTTGTATTTGTCAAACATACAATATAGATGACTTGTATTATTATAAACGTACGAACAATCAGTTCT